GGGAAGCGGCAGAGACTAGGCGGCGGTTTTTGCAACACATTTAGTAGCCTGAGCGTCCACTCCGGTTGTGTGCAATTATAGTTGTTATGCGGGAGACAGGAGTAGGGAAGGGCTGGAATGAGGAAGGGCTGTGCTGTGGCCGACGGCGCGGCCAACGGGCGCTGTGTCCCCATCTTTGGCATTTGCATGAGAGGATGCAGAGCCGGCAGCTCATTGTGTAGCTGTTGGGCAGCTCTGACGAATGCGTAACTCCAGGAGCAACGGGCTGTCGCTAGTTGATTGAGGCCGCTCAGGCTATTTTGCGTGGAGAAGGGGGGGGGCAAATGTTGCGTGCGGCACTGATATTGTCTTGAGCTGGCTACCTCGTGTCAAGGTGTTTGGAGCACCTTTCCATAACGACCAGAGGCAGGCGTGATAGAGGGCAGTTTGGTGTGCGTGCGGAATATATATTCTATCTGTTGAGAACGTTGGCGTTTCGTTTGCTTTTGAACAAGACGCGGTTTGACGGGGATTTGGTGTGCAGCCAGCTACATTGTTTTGTACTTGGCGTTAAGCTTGCTTGTTTGGGATGCGTTGTGTGTCTGGAATCTGCGTTGCGAGCCGATGTGGGTTTTAGCAGTATTGCTCGGCGGGGCAGCGGATGCGCAGGTGCCAGCACCCAGGGGTTGATGTTTGCGTGCACGGGCGTCCACGGCACCACCGGCGCGAAGCCTTTTCAACACTTGTGATTGCGAGCTGTATTGTACAGCAAGTGCGTCTTCTAAAACGCAGTTTCATCTGTACGGCGCAGTTGTTTGCACTGTTACGCGTTACGCTGTTTGGTGGCACGCACGAATGCGTATATGTTTGGGTGCATATGTATGGAGGTGCAGTGCGGGAAGTAGTCGGAGCTAGTTTTGGTTCATCTGGGGACTTGTGCGAAACGAACTGGGCGGTGTGGTAGGGCGCTGCCATGTCCGCTCGCGAGACGGTGGAATCCGACACAATAGACGGTATCAGCGAGCCGGAGACGGAGTGCGTGTGTAGTGCAATATGTGGTTTGCGGCAATTGCGACTACGCGGTGGTTTGCGCCGAACGCGTAGTAGTAGTATCGGCCAGCGGGTTTGCTAGTAATGGATTGGCGGGTCCAGGAAGTGCGCCGTTGGAGGGAAGCCAGTTTGCTCGGGTTCGCTGTGTTTACTGCCGCGTTCCCGCTGCTTGGCTACAGGCACGGATAATTTTGTGAATGCGTGCAAATTCTTGGAGTTGCAATATAAGAAGTGAGTGTCGGTTCTGCTGCCCCCGTGTTTTTCAGTGCTAGCAGCGCACTGCAGTGAGGCGTTTTGGCGATGCAATATGCGTTCCTATACACAGTCTGGCATTACCAAGGACTTGACCGAATTGGTGAAGCAGCACATGCGCCGTGCAGTAGGTAATAGGAAACGACAGAGACTACGCGGGGATTTGCGCAAAATATTTAGTAGCATGAACGTCGACTCCGATTGTGTGGAATGGTAGTTGTTGTGCGGGAGACAGGAATAGGGAAGGGCTGTGCTGCGGCCAACAGGGCGGCCAAGGGGCGCTGTGTCACTATTTATGGCACTTGCGTGGGAGGATGCAGAGCCAGCAGCTCATTGTGTAGCTGTTGGGTAGCGGAGGTGAGCACATAGCTCCTGGAGCACCTGGCTGTCGCTAATTCGTTGAGACCGCTTAGGCTATTTTGCGCTGAGAGGAGGCGCGAATAATGAGTGCGTCACTGATATTGTTTTACGTTGGCTACCTCGTGGGAGGGCGTTTGGAGCGCTGTTCCGTAACGATAAGAGGCAGGCGTGATAGAAGGCCACTTGATGTGCGTGCTGAATATATCTTCCGTGTTTTGAACGCGTGCGGGTCTCGTTACCGTTTCGGCAAGGCGCGATTCGAGAGAGATTTCGTGTGCAGCCAGCTAGATCATTTTGTCATTGGCGTTGAGCTTGCTTTGTTGGTTTGCATGCTGTGTGTGAACTCAGCGTTGCGCGGCGATGTGGGTTTTTGCAGTATTGGTGGCAGTGCCAGAGGAGCGGCGGGTCCTAGCATCCATGGGTTAATGTTTGCGCGCGGGCGCATCCACGGCGCCGGTGGCGCGGAGCATTTCGTGGACGTACAATCGCGAACGCTACTGCGCAGGAAGTGCGGTTTCAAAAGCACAGTTGCATCTCCCCGGCGCAGCTGTACGAACTCTTACGCGTTAAGTTGTTTGGCGCCACGCATGAATGCGTATGTGTTTGGGTGCAAATGCATGGAGCTGCAGTGTGGGAAGAAGTTGTAGCTCGTTTTGGTTCGTCCGGAGACTTGTGCGATACCAACTGGGCGGTGTGGTAGGGCGCTGCCATGTGCGCTCGCGAGACGGACAAATCCAACACAGCAAACGGGCTGAGCGAGCCAGAGGCGGAGTGTGTGTGCAGTGCGAAATCTGGTTTGCGGGAGGTGCGACTGCGCGGTGGTTTGTGCCGAACGCGTAGTACTATTGTCACTATTGTCGGCCAGCGCGTTTGCTAGTAATGCGTGGACGGGTCCAGGAAGTGCGCTGTTGGAGGGAATCCGGTTTGCTCGGTTTGGTAATACTTACAGCCGCGTTGCAGTTGCGTGGATGCACGCATGGATATGCTTGTGAATGCGTGCAAATTCTTGGATGTGCAGTAAGGGCTACGAGTCGGCTTTTGTGCACCCGCGTTTTTCATTGGTAGCAGCGCACTACGCTGAGGCGTTTTGGTGATGCAGTATGCGTTGCTGTTCACGGTCTGGCATTGCAAGCGAGGTGTGGGGCAGCACATGTGCAGTGCAGTAGGTAATAGGAAGCGACAGAGACTACGCGGCGATTTGCACAAATCATTTAGTAGCGTCGACTCCGCGTGTTTACAGTGGTAGTTGTTCTGCGGGAGGAAGAACTAGGGAAGGGCCGTGCAGCGGCCGAGGGCGCGGCCAACGGCCGCTGTGTCACTATCTATGGCATTTGCATGAGAGGATTCAAAGTTCGGAGCTCATTGTGTAGCTGTTGGGTAGCCGAGGTGAGCGCGTAGCTCCTGGAACGGGGGGTTGTCGCTAGTCCGCTGAGATCGCCCAGGCTATTTTGCGTTGAGAGGAGGCACGAATAATGAGTGCGGCACTGATATTGTTTTGAGCTGGCTACCTCGTGGCAGGTTGTTCGGAGCACATTTCCATAACGATCAGAGGCAGGCGTGATAGAGGGCAGCTTGGCGCGCGTGCGGAATATATATTCTATGTGTTGAAAACGTTCGCGTCTCGTTGGCGCTTCAACAGGATACGGTTCGACAGGGATTCCTGTGTGCAGGCAGCTGCATCGTTTGTACTTGGCGTTACGTTTGCTTGTTTGGTTTGCGAGTGGTGTTTGAAACCAGCTATGCGAGCCCATGCTGGTGTTCGCAGTATTGGTCGGCGGGCCAGCAGATCCTCAGGTGTGAGCATCCAGGGGTTGATGTTTGCGTGCGGGCGCCTGAACGGCTTTCATGGCGCAAGGCGATTTCCGGGCACATGATTGGGAGATGTATTGAGCAGCGCGTGCGTCTTGCCAAACGCAATTGCATCTGCTCGGCGCCGTTGTGCGAACTGTTACGCGTTAGGGTGTCTGGTGGCACGCATGAATGCGTATGTGTTTGGGTGCATATGTATGCAGTTGCAGAGTGGGAAGAAGTCGGAGTTCGTTTTGGTTCAACCGACTGGGCGGGGTGGTTGGGCGCTGCGATGTGCGCTCGCGAGGCGGAAGAATCCCACACAACAAACGGTCTGAGGGAAACAGAGACGGAGTGCATTTGCAGCGCATTGTGTGGTTTGCGGCAGCTGCGACTGCGCGGTGGTTTGTGCCGAACTCGTAGTTGTAGTTCCGGCCAGCGCGTTTGCTAGTAATGCGTGGGCGGGTCCAGGAAGTGCGCTCTTGGAGGGAAGCCGGTTCGCTCGGCTTGGCTATGTTCACTGCTGTTCCGCTTACGTTGCTAGAGTCATGGATAAGTTTGTGAATGCGTGCAAATTGTTGGAGTTGCAGTAAAAGAGGTGAGAGTCGGTTTCGCTGCCCCCGTGTTTCTCAGTGGTAGCAGCCCTCTACGATGAGGCGTTTTAGGCGATGCAAGATTCGTTGTGATAGATAATCTGGCATTGCAAGCGATCTGAGTGAATTGGTGAGGCAGCACATGTGCAGTGCAGCAGGTAATAGGGAGTGACAGACACTAAGCGGCGATTTGCGCAAAACAAATTGGTAGCACGAAAGTCTACACCGGGTGTGTGCAATGGTAGTTGTTATGCGGGAGACAGGAATAGTGGAAGGCTGTGCTGCGGCCGGCGGCGCGGCCAGCTGGCGCTGTGTCACTATTTATGGCATTTGTATGCGAGGATGCAGAGTCGGCAGTTCATTGTATAGCTGTTGGGTGGTGCAGACAAACGCGTAGGTCCTGGAGCAGCTGGCTGTCGCTAGTTCACTGAGACCGCTCAGGGCATTTTGTGTTGAGAGAAGGCGCAAATAATGAGTGCGGGACTGATATTGTTTTGAGCTGGCTACCTCGTGGCAGGGTGTTTGGAGCACCTTTCCATAATGATCAGAGGCAGGTGTGATAGAGGGCAGTTTGGTGTGCGTGAGGAATATATTTTATGTGTTGTATATTTTATGTGTTGAGAACGTTCGCGGCTTGTTGGATATTCAGGGAGACGCGGTTCGAAAGGGAATCCGTGTGTAGCCAGATACATTGTCGAGTACTTGTCGTTAAGCTTGGTGTTTGGTTTGCGTGCTGTCTGAAGTCAGCGTTGCGCGCCGATGTCGGGTTTCGCAGTATTGTTCGGCGGGCCCGCGGATCCGCAGGTGCGATCAACCAGGGGTTGATGTTTGCGTGCGCTCGCGTCAACGAGGCCAGCGGCGCGATGTTTTTTCCGGACCCAAACTGTATTGTGCAGCGCGTGCGTCTTGCCAAACGCAGCTGCATATGCTGGGCGAGGTTGTGCGAACTGTTACGCGTTAGGCAGTTTTGTGGCACGCATGATTGCGCATTTGTTTCTGTGCGCGTGTACGGAGTTGCAGTGCTTGAAGGAGTCGGAGCTCGTTTTGGTTCACCCGGGGACTTGTGCGATATCAACTGGGCGGGGTGGTTGGGCGCTGCGATATGCGCTCGCGCGATGGGGGAATCCGACACAACAGACGGTCTCAGCGGACCGGAGACGGAGTGCGTCTACCGTGCATTGTGTGGTTTGCGGCAGGTGCGACTACGCGGCGTTTGTGCCGAACGCGCAGTATTAATGTCGGCCAGCGCGTTTGCAAGTTATGCGTGGACGGTCCAGAAAGTGAGCAGTTGGAGGGAAGCCGGTTTGCTCGGCTTCGTTATGTTTACCGCCGAGTTTCTGTTGTGGGTAGAAGCGTGGATATGTATGCGTGCTAATTGTCGGGTTTGCAGTATAAGAAGTGATCGTCGGTTTTGGTGCCTCGAGCTTTTCAGTGGTAGCAGCGCACTACGGTGAGGCATTTTGGCGATGCAATATGCTTTGCTTTACAGAGTCTGGCATTGCAAGCGACCTGACTGAATTGGTGAGGCAGCACATGTGCAGTGCAGTAGGCAATAGAAAGCGACAGAGACTAGGCGGCGATTCGCGCTAGCCATTTGGTTGCATGAACGTCTACCCCGGTGCTGTGCAATGGTAGTTGTCAGCACTTGCGGTGTGCAGCAGGTAAAGGGAAGCGACAGAAACTGCGCGGAGATTTGCACAAAACATTTGGCAGCCTGAGCGCCCACTCCGGTTGTGCGCAGTGTTAGTTGTTGTGCAGGAGACAGGAATAGGGAAGGGCTGTGCTGCGGCCGACGGCGCGGCCAACTGTTGCTGTGTCGCTATCTGTGACATTTGCATGAGAGGATGCAGAGCCGGCAGCTCGTTGTGTAGCTGTTGGCCAGCTCAGACGAAGGCGTAACTCCTGGAGCAGCGGGCTGTCATCAGTTCGTTGAGGTCGCTCAGGCTATTTTGCGTTGAGAGAGGGGGCAAATAATGAGTGCGGCACTGATATTGTTTTGAGCTGGCTACCTCGTGGCAGGGTGTTTGGAGCACATTTCCATAACGATCAGAGGCAGATGTGATAGAGGGCAGCTGGGTGTGGGTGCGGAATATATCTTCTATGTGTTGAAAACGTTGGCGTATCGTTGGCTTTTGAACAAGACGCGGTTCGACAGCGATTCCGTGTGTAGCGAGCAACATCACTTTGTACTTGGTGTTAAGCTTGATATTTGGTTTGCCTGCTGTCTCTGAAGTCAATGTTGCGAGCCGATGTGGGTTTTCGCAGTATTGGTCGGCGGGCCAGCAGATCCGCAGGTGCGAGCATCCCGGGGTTGACGTTTGCGTGCGCGAGCATCCGCGGCACCCGCGGAACGAACCTTTTTCCAGACATATGATTACGGGCAATATTGCGCAGCGCGTGCGTCTTTCAAAGCGCTGTTGCATCTGCTCAGTTTGCAGTTTTGCAAACTGTAACGCGTTACGCTGTTTGATGGCACGCATGAATGCGTATGTGTTTGGGTGCATATGTATGGAGGTGCAGTGCGGGAAGGAGTCGGAGCTCGTCTTGGTTCGTCAGGAAACTTGTGCGATTTCAACTGGGCGGGATGGTTAGTCGCTGCGAAGTGCGCTCGCGTTATTAAAGAATCCGAGAGAACAAACAGTCTCAGCGAACGAGAAACAGACTGCCTGTGCATTGCAAAACGGAGCTTGCGGCAGGTGCGACTACGCGGTGATTTGTGCCGAACGCGTAGTATTAGTGTCGGCCAGCGCGTTTGCTAGTAATGGGTTGGCGGGTTCAGGAAGTGCGCCGTTGGAGGGAAGCCGGTTTGCTCGGCTTGGCTTTGTTCACTGCCATGTTCTGGCTGCGTGGGTACAGGCATGGATATGTCTGTGAATGCGTGCAAATTCTTGGAGTCGCTGTATAAGAAGACGATTTGGTTTTGCTGACCCCGTGCTTTTCGGTGGTAGCAGCGCGCTAGTGCAAGGTGTTTTGGCGATGCAATGCAATCTGCGTTGCCATACATAGTCTGACATTGCAAGCGACCTGAATGGATTGGTGGGGCAGCGCACGTGCAGTGCAGTAGGTAATAGGAAGCGATAGAGACTACGTGGAGATTTCCGCAAAACATTTGGCAGTATCAACGTCGACTCCGCGTGTTTGCAATGGTATTTGTTCTGCGGGAGGAAGAAATAGGGAAGGGCCGTGCAGCGGCCGAAGGCGCCGCCAATGGGCGCTGTAACACTATTTATGGCATTTCCATAAGAGGATGCAAAGTTCGGAGCTCATTGTGTACTTGTTGGGTAGCGCAGACGAACGCGTAGCTCCTGGAGCAGCGGGCTGTCGCTAGCTCGTTGAGATCGCTCAGGCTTTTCCGCGTTGAGAGGAGGCGCAAATAATTAGTGCGGCACTGGTATTGTTTTGAGCTGGCTACCTCGTGGCAAGGTGTTTGGAGCACCTTTCCATAACGATCAGAGGCAGGCGTACTAGAGGGCAGTTTGGTGTGCGTGAGGAATATATTTCATGTGTTGAGAACGTTGGCGTCTCGTTGGCTTTTGAACAAGACTCGGTTCGACAGGGCCTCCGTGTGTAGCCAGATACATCCTGGAGTTCTTGTTGTTAAGCTTGGCGTTTGGTTTGCATGCTGTGTCTGGAGTCAGCGTTGCGCGCCGATGTGGGTTTTCGCAGTATTGTTCGGCGGGTCAGCGGTTCCGCAGGTGCGAGCATCCAGGGCTTGATGCTTGGGTGCGCGCGTGTGCATGGCGCCAGTGGCGCGGAGCGTTTCGCGGGCGTACAATGACGAGCACAATTGCGCAGCGCGTGCGTCCTCCATAACGCAGTTGCATCTGCTGGGCGTGGTTGTGCGAACTGTTGCGAGTTAGGAAGTTTGGCGGCATGCATGAATGCGTATGCGTTTGGGTGCCTGTGTATGGAGCTGCAGTCTGGGAAAAAGTCCAAGCTGGTTTTGGTTCATCCGGGGACTTGTGCGATGCCAACTGGGCGGGGTGATTGGGCGCTACGATGTGCGCTCGGGAGACTCAAGAATCCGACACAACAGGCGGTCTGAGCAAACCGGAGACGAAGTGCGTCTGCAGTGCAAAAGGTGGTGTTGCCGCAGGTGCGACTGCGCGGTGGCTTGTGCCGACCACGTAGCAGTAGTGCCGAGCCAGCGCATTTGCTAATAAGGCGTGGGTGGATCCAGGAAGTGCGCCGTTGGAGGGAAGCTCATTTGCTCGGCTTTCCTATGTTTACTGCCACGTTCCGCTTGGGTGAGTGGAGGTATGGATATGTTTGTGAATGCGTGCAAATTTTTGGAGCTGCAGTATAAGAAGTGAGAATCGTTTTTTTTGCCCCTGTGCTTCTCAGTGGTAGCAGCGCAGTACGGTAAGGCGTTTTGGCGAAGCCGTATGCGTTGTCATACACAGTCTGGCATTGCAAGCGACCTGAGTGAATTGGTGAGGTAGCAGATGTGCAGTCGAGTAGGTGATAGGAAGCGACAGAGACTACGCGACGAATTGCCGAAAACATTTGGTAGCCTGAGCGTCCACTCCAGTTGTGTGCAATGATATTTGTTCTGCAGGCGACAGGAGTAAGGAAGGGCTGCGCTGCTGTTGGCGGCGCGGCCAACGGGCGCTGCGTCACTATCTATGGCATTTGCATGAGAGGATGTATAGCCGGCAGCTCATTGTGTAGCTGTTGGGCAGCGCAGACGAACGCGTAGGTCCTGGAGGAGTGGGCCGTCGTTGGTCCGCCGAGATCGCTCAGGCTATTTTTCGTTGAGATGAGGCGCAAACAATTAGTGCGGCACTGATATTGTTTTGAGCTGGCTACGTCGTGGCAGGGTGTTTGGAGCATCTCTCCATAGCGACCAGAGGCAGGCGTGATAGATGGCAGCTTGGTGTGCGTGCTGAATATATCTTCTATGTGTTGATAACACTCGCGCTTTGTTGGATTTTTAACAAGACGAGGTTCGAGAGCGATTTGCTTTGGGGGCAGCTACATCGTCTTGTACTTGGTGTTAAGCTGGCCTGTTTGGTTTGCGTGCTGTGTCTGAAGTCAGCGCTGCGCGCCGATGGGGGTTTTTGTACTATTGGTGGAAGGGCCAGCGGATCGGTAGGTGCGAGCATCCAGGGGTTGATATTTGCGTGGGGGCGCGCCAACAGCACCCGTGGAGCGAAGCGTTTTCCTGCCTTATGGATGCGAGATGTATTGTGTAGCGCGTGCGTCTTCCAGAACGTAGTTGCATCTGCTCATCGAGCTTGTGCGAACTGTTACGCGTTAGGCAGATTGGTCGCACGCATGAATGCGCATGTGTTTGGGTGCAGACATATGGAGCTGAAGTGTGGGGAGAAGTCGGAGCTAGTTTTGGTTCATCCGGAGACTTGTGCGATACCAACTGGGCGGGATGGTTGGGCGTTGCGATTTGCTCTCGCGAGATGGAGGAATCCGACACAACAGACGGTCTGAGCGAACCGGAGACGGAATGCGTGTGCAGTGCAAAAGATGGTTTGCGGCAGGTGCGACTGTGCATTGGTTTGCGGCGACCGCGTAGTAGTAGTGTCGGGCATTGCGTTTGCTAGTAATGAGTGTGCGGTTCCAGAAAGTGCGCCGTTGGAGAGTGGCCAGTTTGCTCGGCTTGGATATATGTCAACGTCCGCGTTCCGGTTGCATGGCTACACGCGTGGATATGTTTGTGAATGCGTGCAAATTCTTGCAGTTGCACTATACGTCGTGAGAATCGGTTTTGCTACCCCCGTGTTTTTCAGTGGTAGAAGCGCACTACGGTGAGGAGTTTTGGCGATGCAAGATGCGTTGTCATAGACGGTCTGGCATTGCAAGCGACCTGAATAAATTGGTGAGGCAGCACATGTGCAGTGCAGTAGGTAAAAGGTAAAAGGAAGCGACAGAGACTACGCGGAGGTTTCCGCAAAGCATTTGGCGGCATGAACGTCTACTCCGGTTGTGTGCAATGGTAGTTGTTTCGCGGGAGACAGGAATGAGGAAGGGCTGTGCTGCGGCTGACGTCGCTGCCAAGGGGCGCTGTGTCACTATTTATGGCATTTGCATGAGAGGATGCAGAGCCAGCATCTCATTCTGTAGCTGTTGGGTAGCGAAGGCAAACGGGTAGGTCCTGGAGCAGCTGGCCGTCTCTAGCTCATTGAGATCGCTCAGGCTATTTTGCGCTGAGAGAATGAGCGAATAATGAGTGCGGCACTGATATTGTTTTGAGCTGGCTACCTCGTTGCAGGGTGTTTGGCGCACCTTTCCATAACGATAAGAGACAGAAGTGGTAGAGGGCAGCTAGGTGTGCGTGCGGAATATATCTTCTATGTGTTGAAAGCGTTGGCGTCTCGTTGGCGTTTTAACAAGGTGCCGTTCGACAGGTATTCCATCTGTAGCCAGATCCATCGTTTTGCACTTCCCGTTAAGCTTGCCTTTTTGGTTTGTGTGCTGTGTCTGAAGTTAGCGTCGCCCGCCGATGTGGGTATTCGCAGTATTAGTGGGCCAGCGGACGCGCGGATGCGAGCATCCACGGGTTGATGTTTGCATGCAGGAGCGTCGACGGCTTTGATGGCGCAAAGCGGTTTCCGGGCATATGATTGCGAGCTGTATTGGGCGGATCGTGTGTTTTTCAAAACTTAGTTGCATCTGCTGGGCGCAATTGTGCAAACTATTGCGCTTAAGGTTGTTTGTCAGCACGCACGAATCCGTATGTGTTTGGGTGCATATGTGCAGAGCTGCAGTCTGGGAAAATTTCCAAGCTCGTTTTGGTTCATCCGCGGATTTGTGCACTACCAGCTGGGCGGGGTGGTTGGGCCCTACGCTGTGCGCCCGCGAGGCGGAAGAATCCACCAAAAAGAACGTTTTGAGCGAACCGAAGACGGAGTGCGTGTGCAGTGCAAAAGGTGGTTTTGCTGCAGGTGCTACTACGCGGTGGTTTGTGCCGACCGCGTAGTAGTAGTGCCGGCCAGCGCGTTTGCTGGTAATGCGTGGGTGGATCCAGGAAGTGCGCCGTTTGAGGGAGGCCGGTTTGCTCGGTTTGGATATATGTGAACTGCCGCGTTCCGCTTGGGTGGGTACAGGCATGGATATGTTTGTGAATGCGTGCAAATCCTTGCAGTTGCAGTATAAGTCGTGGGAATCGGTTTTGCTGCACCCGCGGTTTTCAGTGGTAGCAGCGCCCTAGGGTGAGGTGTTTTGGAGATGCAGTATGCTTTGCCATACACAGTCTGGCATTGCAAACGACCTGAGTGAATTGGTGAGGCAGCACATGTGCAGTGCAGTAGGTAATGGGAAGTGACAGAGACTACGTGGCGATTTGCGCAAAACATTTGACGGCATGAACGTCTACTCCCGTTTTGTGTGCAATGGTAGTTGTAATGCGGGATACAGGAGTGAGGAATGGCTCTGCTGTGGCCGACGGCGCGGCCAACGGGCGCTGCGTCGCTATCTTTGGCATTTGCATGATAGGATGCAGAGCCGGCAGCCCATTGTGTAGCTGTTGGGCAGCTCAGACGAATGCGTAGCTCCTGGAGCAACGGGCTGCCGCTAGTGCGTTGAGGTCGCTCAGGCTATTTTGCGTGGAGAGGGGGGGGCAAATAATGAGTGCGGCACTTATATTGTTTTGAGCTGGCTACTTGGCTACTTCGTGTCATGGTGTTTGGAGCACCTCTTCCATAACGACTAAAGGCAGGCGTGATAGAGGGCAGTTTGGTGTACGTGGGGAATGTATATTCTATGTATTGAAGGCGTTCGCGTCTCGTTGGCTTTTGAACAAGACGCGGTTCGAGAGGGTCTCCGTGTGCTGCCAGCTAGATCGTTTAGTACTTGACGTTAAGCTTGCTTGTGTGGTATGCGTGCTGCGTCTGAAGTCAGTTTTGCGCGATGATGTGGGTGTTCGCAGTATTGGTGGGAGGGCCAGCGGATCCTCAGATGCGGGCGTCAGGTGGTCGATGCTTGCGAGCGCTCGCGTCCACGGCACCTGTGGCACGAAACGTTTTTCGGCCTTATGATTTGGAGATGTATTGTGCAGCGCGTGCGTCTTTCAAACGGCAGTTGCATCTCCTCCGCGCAGTTGTGCGAACTGTTACGTGTTAGGCTGTTTGATGGCACGCATGAATGCGAATGTGTTTGGGTGTGTGGCGTTCCAGTGTGGGAAGGAATCGGAGCTCGTTTATCCGAGGACTTGAGCGATACCAACTGGGCGGTATGGTCGAGCGCTACGATGTGCGCTAGCCAAACGGTGGAATCCGACACAACAAACGGTCTGAGCGAACCAGAGATGGAATGCGTGTGCACTGCAAAAGGTGGTTTTGCCACAGGAGCGAGTACGCAGTGATTTGTGCCGAACGCGTAGTAGTAGTGTCGGGCATGTCGTTTGCTAGTAATGCGTGGGCGAGTCCAGGAACTGCGCCCTTGGACGGAAACTCTTTTGCTCCGCTTGACTTTGTTACCAGTCGCGATCCGGTTGTTCGGTCACAGGCATGAATATGTTTGTGAATGCGTGCAAATCCTCGGACTTGCAATAAAAGACGTGAGAGCCGGGTTTGCTGCCCTGGTGCTTTTCAGTGGTAGCAGCGCGCTAGTGGGAGGTGTTTTGACGATGCAATATGCATTGTCATACGTACCCTGGCATTGCAAGCGACCTAAGTGAATTGGTGAGGCGGCACATCTACAGTGCAGTAGGTAATAGGAAGCGACAGAGATTACGCGGCGAATTGCGCAAACCATTTGGTAGCATGAACGTCCATTCCGGTTCTGTGCAATGGTAGCTTGTCTCATGCGGAAGACAGGAGTAGGCAAGGGCTGTGCTGCTGTTGACGCAACGGCTAGCGATCGCTGTATCACTATCTGTGGCATTTCCATGAGAGGATGCAGAGCCGGCAGCTCACTGTGTAGCTGCTGGGTAGCCCAGACGAACGGGTAGGTCCTGGAGCAGCGGGCTGCCGCGAGTTCGTTGAGGTCGCTCAGGCTATTTTGCGTTCAACGGACGCGCAAATAATGAGTGCGGCACTGATATTGTTTTGAGCTGGCTACCTCGTGGCAGGGTGTTTGGAGCACCTTTCCATATTGAACAGAGACGGGCGTGATAGAGGGCAGTTTGGTGTGCGTGCGGGATGTACTATGGGTTGAAAAAGCTCGCGTCTCGTCGGCCTTTGAACCAGACGCAGTTTGACAGGGATTGCTTGTTTAGCCAGCTACATCGTTTTGTACTTGGCGTTAATCTTGCTTGTTTGGTTTGCCTGCTATGTATAAAATCAGCATGGTTGTCCGCCAAGGATTTTCGCAGTATTGGTCGGTGGGTCAGCGGATGCGCAGGTGTGAGCATCCAGGGGTTAATGTTTGCGTGCGCTCGCGTCAACGGCACCCGTGGCGCAAAGCTTTTTTCGGTCTTATGATTGCGAGATGTTTTGCGTAGCGCGTGCGTCTTTCATAACGCAGTTGCATCTGCTCGGTGCAGTTGTGTGAACTGTTACGTGTGATGCAAATTTGTGGCACCCATGAATGCCTATGTGTTTGGGTGCATATGTATGGAGCTGCAGTGTGGGAAGAAGTCGGAGCTAGTTTTGGTTGATCCGGCGACGTGTGCGATACCAACTGGGCGGGGTGGTTGGGCGCTGCGATGTGCGCTCGCACGACGCAGGAATCCGACACAACAAACGGTCTGAGCGAACCGGAGACAGACTGCATGTGCAGTGCAAAAGGAAGTTCGCGGCAGGTGCGTCTACGCGGCGGTTTGTGCCGAACGAAAGTAGTAGTGTCGGCCAGGGTCCTTGCTAGTAATGGGTGGGCGCGTCCAGCAACTGTGCCATTGGAGGGAACCTCCTTTGCTCGGCTTGGCCATGTTAACTACAGTGTTCCGGTTGCGTGGCTACACGCGTGGATATATTTCTGAATGCGTGCAAATCATTGGAGCTGCAGTATAAGAAGTGGGAGTCGGTTTTGCTGCCCCCGTGTTTTTCAGTGGTAGCAGCGCACTACGGCGAGGCGTTTTGGCGATGCAATATGCGTTGCCATACACAGTCTGGCATTGCACACGACCTGAGTGAATTGGTGAGGCAGCACATGTGCAGTGCAGTGGATAATAGGAAGCAACAGAGACTACGCGGCGATTTGCGCAAAACATTTGGCGGCATGAACGTCTACTCCCGTTTTGTGTGCAATGGTAGTTGCCATGTGGCAGACAGGAATAGAGGAGGGCTGTGCTGTGGCTGACGGCGCAGCCAACGGTTGCTGTGCCGCTATCTGTGGCACTTGCATGATAGAAGGCAGAGCCGCCAGCTCATTGTGTAGCTGTTGGGTAGCGCAAATGAACGCGTAACTCCTGGAGCAGAGGGCTGTCGCTACTTCGTTGAGGTCGCTCAGGCTATTTTGGGTTGAAAGGGGAGCGACTAATGAGTGCGGCACGTTCAGCTGTCTTCCTCGTGGCAGGGTGTTTAGAGCACCTTTCCATAACGACCAGAGACAGGCGTGATAGAGGGCAGTTTGGTGAGTGTGCAGAATATATATTCTATGTATTGGAATCGTTGGCGTCTCGTTGACTTTTTAACAAGGTGCCGTTAACCAGGTATTCCATCTGTAGCCAACTCCATCGCCTTGTGCTTACGTTAGGCTTGCTTGTGTGGTTTGCGTGGTGTGTCTGAAGTCAGCTTTGCTCGCTGATGTGGGTGTTCGCAGTATTGGTTGGAGGGCCAGCGAATGCGCAGGTACGAGCATCCAGGGGTTGATGTTTGCGTGCAAGCGCGTCAACGGCGCTCGTGGCGCGAAGCGTTTTCCGGTCTTATGATTGCGAGATGTTTTGCGCAGATCGTGCGTCTTTCAAAGCGATTCTGCATGTGCTCCTCGCAGTTGTGCGAACTGTTCCGCGTCAGGTTGTTCGGTGGCACGCATGAATGCATATGCATTTGGGTGAATATGTATGGAGCTGCAGTGCGGGAATAAGTCGGAGCTCGTTTTGGTTTATCCGGGGACTTGTGCGATACCAACTGGGCGGAGTGGTTGGGCACTGCGATGTGCGCAAGCGAGACGGTGGAGTCCAGCACAGGAAACGGTCTGAGCAAACCGGAGACGGAGTGCGTGTGCAGTGCAGAAGGTGGTTTTGCCACAGGTGCGACTAAGCGGCGGTTTTTGCCGAATGCGTGGTAGTAGTGTCGGCCACTGCGCTTGCTAGTAATGGGTGGACGGGTCCAGAAAGTGCGCCGTTGGAGGAAAGCCGGTTTGGTCGGCTTGCCTATGTTGGCTGCCGCGTTCCGGCTGCATGGCTGCATGGATATGTCTGTGAATGCGTGCATATTCTTGGGGTTGCAGCATAAGAGGCAAAAATCGGTTTTGCTGCCCCCGTGTTTTTCGGTGGTAGCAGGGCACTACGGTCAGGCGTTTTGGCAACGCAATATGCCTTGTTAAACATAATCGGTGGGTAAATTGGTGTGAAAGCACATGTGCAGTGCGGCAGGTAATAGGAAGCGACAGGGACTACGCGGCGACTTGCGCAAACCATTTCACAGCATGAACGTCCACTCCGGTTGTGTGCAATGGGAGTCGTTGTGCGGAAGACAGGAATATAAAAGGTTGTGCTGCTGTTGAAGGCGCGGCCAACGGGCGCTGTGTCACTATCCATGGCATTTGCATGAGAGGATGCAGAGTTGCCAGCTCACTGTGTAGCTGTTGGGCAGCGCAGACGAACGCGTAGCTCCTGGAGGAGCGGGCTGTCGCTAGTCCGTTGAGATCGCTCAGGCTATTTTGCGTTGAGAGGAGGCGCAAATAATTAGTGCGGCACTGATATTGCTTTGAGCTGGGTACCTCGTGTCAAGGTGTTTGGAGCACCTTTCCATATCGACCAGAAACAGGCGTGATAGAGGACAGCTTGGTGTGCGTGTGGAATATATGTTCTATGTATGGGAAACGTTGGCGTCTCGTTGGCTCTTCAACAAGGTGCCGTTGGACAGGTATTACCTGTGCAGGAAGTTGCATGGTTTTGTTCTTGGCGTTAGGCTTGCTTGTTTGGTTTGCTTGCTGTGTCTGAAGTCAGCTTTGCGCGCCGATGTGGGTTTTCGTAGCATTGGTGGGAGAGCCAGCGGATGCGCAGATGAGAGCATCCAAAGATTGATGTTTGCGTGCGCGCGTGTCCACGG